GATTTTCTTCCGAAATTTCGTAAAAGAATGGAAGTGTGCGTAATTTAATTCATTTTAGAAAATCCGGCAAAAATCGGACGGGATCTTTCCGAATTCTTTAAAAATTCTTTACGATTCAGAATACTCTGTAAAAATGATTTGCAGGGTTTCTATTTATGCGTTAGTGACAATCAAAAAATTCTGTACGTGTATTGTAGTTTCAGTCAATCGAGTTTTGCAGCGATGTTATTATGTGACCGATGTACAAAAAAGCGCCTAGCGATATGTTTACACAGGAAAAAAGGTCAGATTTGTAAAAACCAGGACAAATGAAAAAACAGTCAGGACACTTTAGTTCGACCCCGAAATCAGGAAATGTCCAGATAAATCAGGACGTCTGGTCACCCTAAATGAGGAGATTTTTCATGGCGGAAGTACACACTTGAACACGGCGTGCGCCTTAAACTTACCGGCATTTCAATTTGAATATGATGGAAATATTTCTATTTAAGAGCAGGTTAAATAACCATTAGAACAACACCTAGTTCTAGAAAAAAATTATGGGGAAGTTCTTTCCTCAAAATATTCCAGGATGTAGGATATTAAGCTTATACATATATACGTATATTCCCATAAATGAAATCACGTTTTTCTAGAAAAAAATTGTATTTATACATATAAATAAAAATGTATGCATTAACATACATACATTTGTACATAGTATATATGCATTTATGCATTTTCTCAAAGCCTCTCTAGCTATTTCAATTTTTATTTAGTATTCGTTAGCACAGTTTTCCATTCAAATTTTGCCGGTAGGCGATAACGTGTCTTGGACGCTGTCTCTTTTGGGAGCCTTCGTAATGAAATATTTTTCATATAGCAATTACTTTTTTATAGTACATTTCTTTGCAAGGACCTTTTCCACTTATATTTGCAGCATAAAACTGAACAGTGTTATTCGTTTAAAGTGGTTTTCTTATTTTACGTACAATTTTGGGTTGAACGCTTTACTTATGTAGAGCTCCACGCGACACCAACACCTTCACCGTTCGTAACCAGACTTCAACTGATTCGCAACGGCTGGTTTCGATGCCGTCTGAGCTAGTGGATCCATTGTATATATGTATATATAAATAAGTGTACATATGTACATATGTAGTTGTTATTTATGTGACTGCTGATTCTGCTTCAGCTGTTGATACCCGCATACGAAAACTGTTGCTCCTATTGCTATTTTTTCTATGTCGCCTACGAGTAGTAGGGTGGTCGATTGGATAACTTTCAAACATATATGTAGCGAACAACCAGTTTATATACACTCGTTGATAAATTTGTGATACAAGTACTTAAGATCAGTGTCAACTAAATCTCTGCCCTAGGGAATATTTTCTTTCTTTTGTTTTGCCACCTTTTTGATTAAGTTGAGAACTAGCTTTTTATCGTGTTAAAAATGCAGAAGGGTTAAACTTCGGATCTGGACGTTCTGCCGGATTTGTTACCGATAGATTTTTTTACCAAAAAAGCAGCGTAGTGCAAAGAAAGGGTTTTGGGACTCAGTGCCATTCTTAGTAGACCCATCTGCTATGAAAGAGTCGGTCATCGACTATATAACACCAAAAAAACCTGGACCTACCACAAACCTTGCACAAGATTTTGAAGCCGCTGTGACTGGATTCTTTGAGGGATGCAGTCATTGCAGGGCATATTTGTCTATACAGAAAAATCAAAAAGTTTTGCCGTAATCCCTAATTTACATATGTATGTATGTATACTAGCTTCGTAGAGTCAGCTCCTCTTTGTAATATAAAAAAACGGCTTTAAAATCTACGAAAAGCTGGTCTTTATTGATTTGTTTTTCTGAAGCCATTCCAGCACTGCGGATATCTGATCAATGATGGATTTTCCAGATCTTAGGCCTCACTGATAAGGTGTAATAAATAAGTTGGTTCATGAAGTATTTTAGGTATTCGCATATAATCGCCGGGATGACTTTCTATAATACTAAGAAGTAGGATCCTTTTTGCTTGTGGATTGGGCAAAGTGCACTGAGATTTTAATATTCGGTCATGCAGTTATCAGATCAAATTATGCTTAAAAGCTGATACATACACCCTACCAGCTCTGGGCCGTTGGCCTTGAACAGCCGGTAAACCGTCGGCTCCAGGGTCTTTATTGTTTTTAAGCTGCATTATTGCTGTCCTCACCCTGTCATCGTCTAGTGGAGGTATGTAATCTGCGTTCCTATATAATGATATAGGTTCTTGTTCATCAATCGTACCACTGGTTTCGCAAGCGCTGAGAACTTTTCCCTCCCTATCTTAAATGTACTCTAGATGTCTCTTATCAGATTTTTCTGTCCATCTTTGCAAGAACTAGCCTGGTCTTGAAACCATTTGATTGTGGCCTTATTTTCTGATATAATTTTCGAGCCGAGCTCTTGCATGTCAGCATCTTAAGCTCTTCGCACTCACGACTTTCTGCCTTCGCAATTCAAAATTATATCGCTATAAAACCGGGATTGAAAAACCGGGCCGATCACCTTACTTCCCCATATACAGAAGGTATACTGTTTGCTATGTTGATACTCTGGCTCACTGGTTTTATTACTTTTCATATGACTGCCTAACTATCTATGTATCTCTTTGGCTCTGATTCTCCATCTACGGCAGTCTATAGTATGCACATGTACACATACCTAAGGACATAATATGTACTATATTATAATATATGTAAATGTTGTGATTTAAAGTTCGTTTCGGTCCATCTTTCTACCGAGTACTTATGTCGTGGAATTGGCAAAGAGCTGTTATGTGTTCTGAGCGACAACAGAAGTGCCAGTTGGGGGAGTGCGGTTGATGTCTAGAATAGCTTATATCCCATCCCTCTTCTAACAAAGTATCTACAGTCTAGACACTGAGGTGTGCACTTGCAGGAAACAAAAAACAAAAACAAATACATAAATTCAAGCAATAAAAACATAAGTAAATACGAATAAAAGTAGAGATAGACGAATATAAACAGCGGCGGGAGCGCTCATAAGTATCAGCTGTAAATAGAAATGAGAGTTCTGCCAAGTGGAGTACATTACGGACAAAAACAAATGGCACAGCAAAGTAGAATTGAAAAAGCTAACAGATAAAACAAGAGCAAATAAAAAGATGTTGAGGCATAATTTATACGAGAATTATTCCGCACATGTACCACTGCGCTGGCATATCGTTAGATACATACAAACATTCCGTCGCCTGGATAAAAGATTGTCGTATGTTAATTTCGACAGGTTTTGGAAAATCGCGACTGAAATCTAGAATGCGATTTCTCAAAAAGGCGACGATAGATTTTCTGTAAAGTCTCGGAGAATGTTACCAGTTTCCGAAATTCTTTAATTATTTTACTTTTATTGTTTACTAGATCGCCATCACCCGCTTCGCTGAGTGTATGAAATTTCAACCATTCTGTCATTTATTTCAATAAATCTCAACATTTTTAAACTATGCCAAAAACAGGAGATTTTAAAGTTTTTAACCATCTTCAAAATAAATATTTTGAAACTAAAACTTTCTTAAGCCTCTCTATTGTGATACTTTTTCACTTTTTATATACCCTGAATTCAAATATATATAGATTAAACCTTACATGTAGTTTAGAAATGAAGCACTTTCAAAACTATTTCGATTGGTACCCCTATTGTAATAAGTACTTCATTGAAATTATTGAATAGTTTGAATTTAACCTTCCGGACAGTTTGCAACCTTTTTAAACCTCTTTCGTCTCATAGTCATATTGTGAGACATACATATGCATTCAAATTACCTAATTCCAATTATTTAAGTTGAATTTGAATTTTCAAATCTGTGGAAACCCTGCTATGCATATGTAGCTTAGAAATAAAGCCTTTTGAAGACATTCGGCTACTACCTATATTGTAAGAACTCATTTAACTTATAATATAATTGTATTTGAATATAGTTTTAAAATAAGTGGTAACCCTCTTCAAATACCTCAGAAGATTAGACATGTCCAAGCTGAACATTTCTACACATTCTTACGTGTGACACTTTAATTTGAGGATAATTAATTTAAATTCGACTTTTAAAACAGGTGGCAACCCTCTCCAGCTTATTTTTCAACTAAACTCTTGTTAAACTCCTTTGGTCTGACACTCATATTGTGATACATATGTATCTCAATTATTTAATTTCCTAACTTAAAGTAGAATTTGATTTTTCAAACAGGTGGCAACCGTCCTTCATGTAGTTTAGAACTTAAACCCTTTTCAAAAACATTTCGATTGACACCCATATTGCAGTAACTCATTTAAATTAATTGAATTTAATTTTTAATCGGGTGGTAACCCTAGTAAAACACCTCAATAACATTCTAAATATTCAATCTTAAGATTTCTTAACAATTTTTCGTTTGACACCCGTATGTTAATTTTTCAGATAGCTTGCGAATAATGAATTTAAATTTGACTTTTTAACGGGTGGCAACCCTTTTCAAAGCATTGTCAAACCACAATTTTTTTAGGCCTCTTGACTTCCCTTTTTTAATATAATTTTCAAACAAATAATTCCCTTAATTCAAGTTGAAATTTATTTTTTAAACAAGTGACAGACCTCCCCCATGAATGCGGAATTTATTATATATACATATCTCCATACCAAGTTCCAGCCCTCTATCACAAATATTTCCTGCGATATGTAGTATGAAAATTTCCTATTGTATGGGTGGTGCCACGCTCCCTTGTACAATCGAAATTAAATCTATCCTAAACTTTAAGTTGGGCTTAATGACACCAGTATACAAAATTTCATCATGATTCGTTGAGTAGTTAAAGCGTGATAGAGTAACAAATAAACAAACTTACGTTCGGATTTATAATAGAGTAAGGAGTAAGGAAGTAAGGATTGTTAATTATATTTAGTTAATGAGTAGTTAATTTTCTTTAGTAAATCTGTGACGTATGCTACTTTTGTCCACAATTTTGATGCCACTTTGTATGAAAATTAATGAGACTATTTAAGCAATACCAGGGAAACTAAAGGAGATATCCAAAAACTGAAAGCACCAATCGAAAAACCTTAATTTTAAAATATATACATTACTGCATCTATAACTAAAAATCGGTAAAATGGCACTTACGACAATCTTTTATGCTGGCGACGATTCGTGAATGCTTTACGTACAATGGTATTCCTGTCGTTTTCGTCTGATACAAAACCAAGCAGAATTAATAGCTGGATAAACACGTTCAGAACTAGATCGTCAGGTAGATCGAGGATTACAGTTAGACCAAATTAGACTTAGATCCCAATTCTGTATCGGCGACAAAATTTTTTTTTACTAACAAATTTAAAGTGTTTCATATATTTTTCCGTAATAAAATCTGTCACAAGAATACAGAATAGAGGTGTTAAGGTGACCTCAAACAGGCGCGATACTACCGATGCGATACGATATCGTATTTGATGCGATAACGATAATAAGCACAGGCGCTCAAACAAATGCTATACGATAAAATCTTAAAAAAAGGCATGAGTAGCAGGTATGTAGTCATAAAATTTGATGTGTAAACATCTGTGTCCCGTCCTAACTAAACCTGAAATGGTCCCGAAAAAGTCCAAAACTAGTCTCGAAAAAGTTCCGAACTAGACAGGTAGACAGGAAAATTCCTCAACTTGTCCAGAAATCGTTTAGTACTGCACCCGAAATGATCCCGAACTAGTCCCAAAAAAGGTCGAGATAGTCCCGAACTATATCAACTAAGAAGTAGTGTTGCTAGAACAGCTGATTAGATTAGACACATGAAGCAAAGCTAAGTCCCTCTCCCTGCCCTTTCCAACGCAGAGGAAAGGCCATCAGCAGGAGATGCCTCATCCAATACTATTAGGGCTGCAGCGTTTTCGCCCATTCGTATGACATGACGATCATCGACGACTCCAGTACAGATCCTTCACTAAATTTGCACGAGTTTTTTTCGAAGATCTCCACCAAAGGACATATCCTGAAATCATAGTCCTTAAAAATGTTTATCAACAAACGTGGTTGATCTTATTTGAGACATTTTATC